TCTTCCCACGCTGACTTAATTAAGTCGGTATTACGGGGGGTATAAAACATATATTTCATACCTACTGAGAGCTGAATTTCAATTTCTTTGGGAATGGTCACACCGGGAGACTTATGTACTGAATTACGATACTGAGCGGCCAACAAAATATCAATTGGCGTATGTAAATGTACAAAATTTAAAGCTACCGGGTATGGTACTGTGAGCAACCAGTCAGGATAAGTAGCGGCAATGTCATACCTGAAATTACTCGGGGTGCGCCCAGCGAGTACTACTTCCTTGCCTTTCCCTTGCCCTTGTCGTTGGATTTCTGTCGAGGGCGTCCGGACCCGGAAGGCTTCGTTGCGTCGGGAACTCGTCGACGCGCCTTGGGTATATATTTGGGCGGAGGCGGATGCTCCGACCCAGTCCGGATCTTCTTGCCGGTCGAACTCTGCGACTTCCTCGGACCCTGCATCTGTTTCTAGATGAAGAGGAGTCAGTGAGTGTTTAGAAGAGGGATATGGGAGAAATGTTACCACACTCCGACGGCCCGGCTTCCTATCAACCTGCTTAAGGCGAGCGGCGACTGCTCGGTCGACCATCGATTGTATCGAGGGGCCGGCCCGGGTGGCATCTGCCATCTCCACGTCCGCTGCCTTGGCCAATGCTTTCTTTCGGTCTTGTTTCGCCGACGTTGCATGCGAAGCCAACTCCACAATGGAGATGACTCGGAAAGCATACACTACAACGTCGGCCAGCAAATTCTTGCACTCCGCGACCTTCTGAGCGTCTTCCACCCAGACCAAACCCTCTACTTTGTTGTCGGCAGAGAACCGAATGTTCGCAACACGGCGGTTGCGAAGCACTACCTGGCCTCGTTCGATAACGATTGGCGATAGCCGCTCGTACAACTTTTCGGGGGTGATTGCCGCCTCCAAAAACCTAATGTCATCCTTTTTGGCTGCAATAGCCGTATCAAGGAGACCGGTGAGGTACGCTTTATGGGCGTCCTCAAGGTTTTTACGGTGAAGCAAAGCTTCGGGGGAGGAGCCGTAGTCCGCGGTAAGCTGGACTTCGGGCGCTTGCCTAAACAAGTGCGCGGGCATTGTTCCAGCCTTTTTATGGGCTTCCCACTTTACCAGAGTGAGCCGCGCCGAGCACAACTTGTTAGTCGTGCCGGCAACGCCCCGAAGGGGCTCGCGGAGAACTTCGACAAAGTCACCAGGGACTAAGTCGATCAACGCGTCCACCGTTCGAGCGCCTTGAAGGGCGGCTCGGCGGGCGACGGCTGCATGGTCGGACTGAATGTCCAATCCACCGGCGACGGAAAAGACGTCGGGGACGGGGGAGAGGGCGCGGGCTACGACGGAGGCTATCGACGACATGCTGTATAGTAGGTAGTAACTACACCGTCATAGCAATGGTAAATACTCGTAGATAGGGTTAGGACGGTGTACCCCCTTCGGCGAAGCCGTTGGGGGTACACAGTATGCAAGCATCACCCTTCGCCGTCGCATAAGCAGGCGGCACGGTTGGGTTATTTCATACTCCGATGCATTAAAACACACCGTCTGTCGCAGAAGGTTGGCAACGTCATCTTGACCAGGAGTCCAGCCCTTCCTAACTGCGGGGCTTTGACCTGGACGAGTACTACGTTGGACTCATTCCACCGGCACGACTTCTCACCAGGTAATAAATTACCCGATTACGTCCGTCAACACCTCGTCCCGCGATGTGCGCAGCTGCCCGTGTGGCGGTTACCAACTCCGTGGCGAGCATGATCCCGCCGGCCCGAATTACCACGGCACGGCGAAACACCATGTCGGAACACCCGACGGGGGACGACCCGCCCAGGTGGAGTGGCACCTACCTCCGGTATAGCCCGCCTACAAAGCTGCGTCAGTGTATCTGGCCAGTCGGTCAAGTATGTGGTAGGCGTTAGTGGGATCCCCAAGTGCGTCGAAGGACTCCTCCCACATATTACCTGCCCATGGGTTTCCCCATTATGTAGACTATATCTTAAGCATGTCGTCATCGGACGGTGAGTCATAAGCTCCCACCCCGCCTGGACATGCCCACCAACGCTTAGTCGTTGAACTCCTCCCATGGTACCGTTACAGAGCCGGTCGGTAGTGCCGCTCCGCAGATACGGGTGCCGGGGTCGGATGGATGGTACTTTAGGGGTTAGCTGCGGATTACCCATTTCGGCTTTCGCCTCATCTGCACAATTATTACCCGGATGGAAATCCTACAACGGCGCCTTTCGGCTAAGGACTGGCAAAGCGGCCGAACCGGTCTATGCACTGCGCCCCCATTCCGCCTTGGTATGTGTCAGCTTTAGGGCTTTCCCGAACAATTCGAAGGTGTCGCCATCGACGCAAGTGACTAGCTACGTATTTACCATCTACGTAACTATACCCATACCGGGGAGCCCGTTACTCCAACAGAGGCGCTGTCGACACAATGTCCGCCTCCTTTAGAGGCGTCCACAGGACGAGGGTCCGCATTACCCTGGGATCAGCGCTTGTTTTGCCGGCTTGAGTATAGAAAACTCACCTCAAGAGTGTTGAGGGTTGTGAGAATGCTTGTTAAAGCGAATCAAGGTCCAACAGAGGGATGGGGTCACCATCTCT